GCTTAAAAATCGATTGAATATTCATACCTAAATTATCTCGAAAAATTGAAATTCAACCAATTGAAACTCAACCAAAAAGCCTAGTGTTGAGTATCATTCTGTAATATGCATCTAGTTTATTAAATATACATTCGCAATACTCTCCTGTCGCCCTGTCATTCAGTTGAAGAACCCTAAATTTCGCTGAAGCGGCCTAGAGTCCTTTACAACCAATCTCTAAGGCTGAGTTGCACCATATTACTTTAACTTTGACAAACGTCAAAAATCTGTCGAACTCCATACAAAAATCATCGGTTATTGTTAAAGGTACCGTCAAAATAAGTTGGTAAAACTCAGCCTAAATATGATAATAGCCTTTATTGAACACGTCCAAATTGAAATCGGTAATCGGAAACCCGAATAGACAAGGTGTCAAACTTTTCTTTCGGCATATTGCGGGGATGAAAATTTAATCTGTCAGTCATCCATGACTATCTCGTTTGATGCTCTCTCGAACTTTTGACGGCTGCTTCTCCAACTTTGAGTGCTTCACCAAACTCTATACACTTACTTCCCTTCGAACAGGCGGTTAAACACAGAGGTACAGAGTTGGCACGCCCCGTTACCATTATTTGTTTTTGTAACACAAAACACACTCGCAACTTTATTAATTATACTAGATGGATTGTGGCTCTTTTCAGCGGAATAAAATTATGTACATTTTAACTCCCGACGGGAAAACAGGGTTGTTTTAAGTTTGTCTGTTAAGCGTCTTGTGTGTCTTTAACACTACTTATCGACATCTAACGAAGTGCACTACTTCCCTCTACCATCAACAACAACAAGTGACCTCAACTTTGAAAGAATTGTGAAGGTTTCAGGTTTCATTCAACGCAATCGCTCACAATTGGATCGAACGTGAACTGAGCAAATGAAAATTTCATAGCCCTCGAGCGGAGTCGTTAGCTCGCAGTATGTTTTCCGTATATTAGTTTAACCCTACGTTGCGGGTGGGGTCTAATAACCCAGCGGCAGTTCATTCAGTTCATTCATCGGGAGCCAGTGTACCGTAAAAAAGAGCTGAATGTTCGCTCCGGTCGACTGGCCACTGCCAATGAAACCTCTCGATTGAAATGTTTATTCAAACACAATGGATATGTGGAGTTTGATCCACATAAAGAACAAATGCCGCAATTCGGTCAGATGAGAACCATTTTGATAATATTAATATTTACGTCCAGTGACAAGCGGGTTAATTTAATTTGTAAAAACATAACAAATAATTATATTAGTATTGAAAATATTACTGAACTGTGGAGGTCCCTTGTGCGTATCTGCACATTTCTTTAAAATATTATAATTCCCATTAGGTAGGCCAACACATGTATAATTTCCATGTTAATTACAAGGCTTAATTTAAAATAAAAAAAAATACACGCTAAAGAAACCTCAACTCAATAAAACAGCTAAAATATTACCGGTAACGTTCCCATTGAACTTGGAGAGAACCTTGACTGAACTCGTTTACTTCGTAATCAGGCTCTTAAAATTGTTTGCGACGGAAATTTTGGGACTAATTAACTCAAAATAAATCCACCAAAAGGCTACGAAACCGACTGACCAATTAGCCGAGTTGATTTTAAGCTGAGCGAGCTAAGCTTGAGCGCTCAATTGAACGTGCATATAAATGATTTTCTTGGAATATAAGTAGGTACATGAGAAAATCGTTTATCCAATTCATTTGTAATCTAAATAAATCACACTACTTACAAGCAGATAGGTAGGCATTTTTGGTATCGAAAAGTTTATAATGTTATTCCAAATACCGATTTTTTTTTTTCACAGAAAGACTGGCGTCTCTCGGGAATGTCTTTACCATCTTGTATTTCTTGGAAATAATGTAAATTCACAGTAGATGTTACTTCAATTTTGATTTCGACGCCGTGCTGATCTCCAAACAATAAATTCTCAATCAAATAACTATTTGTTGGTTCCAAACCAACTAAAAATCTAATTTTAGTCAAAGATAGTTGATTGTGTTTTCAGAGATACTATTTTAAGAAATAATTTGAGTCTTGGAATTCTTAGTAAATGTTGTAAACTATCTAATTTTATCGCTACAAATATTTGCCGTTATTTTCTTTTCCAGGGAAAATGAAAGAGAGGACTACACCGTAAGTGGTTATAAGGCATGGCATAAACTCAAATGATTGCACAACTGCCAATAATTCAGCCAACAATCGGAGTAGTAAATACCAATTTACATTCCCGTTGCAGTCGGTCGGTAATAATAAAACCATAGTTCATTGTGTGTCGACCAAAAGTCAGTACGCGCAGAACCGCTGAAAGTCAACACAACCACAAAAACTAGGTGCGTCAACAGCACAACCGGCTAATGAAAAGTAAACTGTACGCCCGTTAGCGATATAATCATTAGGGTTCCAATACCGCTATTGGGTAACAAACTGGAAATTCATTTTCAAAACAATAAAGAATAATGTATTTTTTTTAAACTACAGCTAACTCTAAAGACTGGAGTGGGTAAAAAATCGCGTGCTCTCAATATTATTGTTTTGTATTTAAGTTTGGAACGGCAAACATTTAGGTAAAATACACAATGTTATTTTTATTATTCGTTTTGTAATTCATTCAAAATATTTGGTCTTCAGAGGAACTCTACGGTGAGTAAATAGTTCGTTTCCTTCGGTAATTCCACCCAATAAATACCTTAGCCGCTTTTTTTTCCCTCTCGTTTACTTTTTTCGTTTCCGACTTGCGACTTCCTTGTTAATTAGCAAGGGGTGTTAAATTTATTTTTAAACTTGTCTGTGATTATACATTTCTGTTTTTTTTTTTCCTTTTAGACTCTACTTTCTCGCCATTTGTTATTTGACTTGCTTAATCATACTGTAAACAGATTTTTGTGTTACTCTGTCAAGCATTATTTAGAGACTATAAAGTGTTATATGATAAAAAAAGGATTTTAAGGAACTAGGAACATTTACAATACATCTCATTTTTTGATCCAAAATATTAATGAAACAGATGTATTCATACTGTACCGTAATCGTACTTCGCATAGCTTGTTAGATTGTCCACATAATGTGCTATATCGTGACGATAAATGACGGTTCATTTGAAGGGACACAACATACTGGGCATCATAATATACATATTAACCCATTATAAAATGTGCGTTAGGAGAGCATGGCTGCAGCAAAATTCATATTTTCATCGTTAACGTTAAAGTCAGCAGGTATCTATGTTTATCACGAACTCATATCAAAAAGCATAATGCAATAAAAAGCGTATCACCCCTTCATAAGACATACTTCTCGCGATGCGTCACGCTTAGTTAACTTTATTATGATAAACGTATAAACTGGGTGTATTGTCGAGCTTTCCTTGCGTCGAGGAAATGCGTATAATAAAGGCATGCCCAGAAAGGAAAGCGAAATGAATGCCCCACAAAAAGGAGATATAACTCGAAATGTCCACACGCAACGATCCGTAAAATAGTCTTGAGTCCGTTTAAAGGAATATCCACAAAAACATACTGCTCAGAGCGAAGGGCACTTTGGGCTGACGGCTACATGAAGTGGATGTAGGGAATAGGCAGCCCTGTAGATATATCTGATCCAATATTCCTATTTCTTTGTTCTAGTTCTAAGAAAAATCTTGCTTTGCAAGAGTAGTTTTCTTTATTTCAGTCTAGGTACTCAAAAGTGAACTTTCTGAAGTATTTCAAGCTTAATAAAAAATGTAGCACACACAATTTTGCGTAGAATTGAGTAATACATTACAAGATCTCACAAAACTGTACAGTCTAGTCGTGTGAACACACAAGTCTCCATTGAAAAGAGCCCTTATGCCTTATAACAGCTATTTTCTTATCTAGCTCGTGTCAAACTTTCCGGCTACAAAGGCAATAGATACTCTTAATTTACTTATCTATTCATAATCCAATATATTTCATCATTCAACAGACGCCTTAAATTAATAGACACAGCCACTAATGGCCCCTCCATCAAAACACAAAACAAAGGAGGCAACAGTAAACAAAAACTGAATGGCTATTACAAAACATCCTTTTTCGAAACCGATTGGGAATTGCGCCCTCCTATCCCGACAGGAAAATTCCATTTCCCAAATACAAAACTGAGAAGAGACGACACAACCTAAATACCTTGTAAGTAAACGAAGCGCAATAAGTAAATAGCATTTTCTGCTTTGTGGAGATCTCAAAACAAACGGGCGATGAAAAACTCCAAACAACTTTTAACGATTGCTGTTTCTCGTGACTGGATGGGATTGTTTTGCGGTGTATCGTTTTTCTGCTAAAGTTAGAACTGGTTGGATCTATCTGTAATGTATTTAATGTTGGCTTGGTATATTTACAAAGGACTGGTTTTGTTTTTCTTTATATTTCTAAAATAATAGCATAGACAAAGGCATGGTTTGCTGATGCACACACCGATGATGATGACTCCATGATGTGTAATTGTGCGTCTATCATTCAAAACATTTTTGAGGCGAGCAGGAAAAGTATCCCAGCCAAGACTGAACCTTAAAATTTACATGAAGGCCTTACTACACAGTAAACCATACTTACTCCATTAACAGTCACAATATACCTGCTTATGTGTAAATTCTTGGTTAAGAAATATTTTTAATTCAATTCAACTTACCACTCAACTGGAAACGAAATAATTAGAGGAAGTTTTTATGACTTGCAAAACTATTGTTCCGAATCAGAGAGAAAAAGATGATTAAAGCTATATCTACCTATGAGTAATGATTTAGGAGAACAGACATTAAGCTAAGTACGTGGTACAAAACAATTCCGTTGATAAGATTATTAAAAACACTACGTTATCACTGTGTCTTATCTTCTTGACCGATTGGTGATTGTTGTGATTGTATTTTAAGGTGTACAACACAGGGTTAAAAGTGCAATGAATTAGCCTTATCAAAATAAACAAGCTCACGTGCAGACCTACGGAAACGCAATAAAACATGAACACACACTGTTTCTAAATCAGTCTATTTATACAACCCGAAGACAATTGGCAGATTTGTTATTGTCATTCCTTAATAAGTACTACAACATCCAGAAAGTGAGTTTCTTAAAGTTTTGCGTGCATACACCTAGTATTTAGTTAACCAAGGCTCTAATTATTATAAATTGTGAAAGAACAGTTTCTACAATAAAATGTTATTAAGTAGATGATCAATAGGATGTTATGTTTTTCTTTTAAAATTGTTCAAAGTTCAAGACAACTTACAGAAAATTGTTGAATTTATAAGATTTATATGAATGTTACAATCTAATAGCAACTTTAGTTTAATTTGTAAACAGAATGCTATTGACTGATAAAAATCATATAAGCACTTAAATCTGAAAACACTTGGTAATTTCATAAACAAGCTCCTAATAAAAAAATATGTGTTGTAGATAACAAATTGTGTATATTGTAACTATACTTACGAGCAAAAGTATGGAATCATCCCCTTGTGTTTTGTTCCGAGCCATCATAAGAACTGAATGCCTATGAATGTATCTTTGGTATTAATTTAAAGTACTAAATAATATCACCTTTAAAATAGTACCATTTTTATTTATCTTCTATTAGTCATTTAGTTCTTACGATCGTTCATAACAAATAGGGTGATTCCATACTTTTGCTCGCGAGTGTATTAATGTAGAAGTACTATGAATGTAGAAATCACATTAAAATGTCTTTCGGTAGGAATGTCTCAACCGATGCCGATGCCGTGCGGAGCCCACTGCGGGACCTACTGCCACCCTCACTGCCTCTACAACAACAACGGCGGGTCCACCGTAACAGTCGTCGACCACAACCCCTGCTACCCCCCACCTCCCCACTACCCCCCTCATCAGCACCCGAACTACCCACCACAGTGCCCGCCGCAGTACCCACCACAATACCCGCCAGGTTGCTGCCCACATCACCCCAATTACCACCACACTACGTGCCCGTGCCATCAAGCTCGCTAAAGTGGACATCTGTGATATAGATCTTTTTATTTGATGTTTTTTTTTTAATAATCAATTGAGAATTTTTTATTACTATTATTTCTACATTTATTTACCAAGAGTTATAAGAACTGAAAATGTTTGTATAAATAAATCTTTAAATACCTACCTATGGTGTTGTGTCAATTACTAATAAGAATTTATAAAAACACACTCACAAGAACAACTTGTGTACTTACATATTCACTAAACTTCAACATTGTAACAATAAAATGCCAATTTTTGATAATTTCAAATCTGAACTTAGTTTCGTTCGTGTAAAGGTAGTTATTTTAATAATGAACTGTTTTATATCCCATGGTAAGAATAGGTAAATATAAGTTTTATTTACTGTAAACATAGATAATTTATCATTGTAAAGATTACAATTGGTCATGCCAAAGTATTTTCCGTGTTGATATAATTATCTTATCAGTTCACAGAAAAGGCTGATTTGTTATGACTTAAAACTATAGTAGGTATGTTTATATAACTTTCACATTCACAAAGGTACAACCTTCGAACTTACGATGAATGAATCATTTCTGAAGATTGTAATCGTTGAATAATATAATATTTTGATGGAAAATCCATATTTTTCTAAATCTATGTTGTATGTAATAACTTGACTAACATAGCTGATTTAAAACAGTCATTATATGATCTTATTCTACAAAATACTCTAAGTATACAAATCTATCTTATCAGTTCAATGGAAAAGCCCAAAGGTACGGAACTATGGAATGATTAATTCTGTGACTTGTGACTTTAACAATAAGGTTTAATGTCTACTAAAGTTACTATTCAATAGTAGGGTAATAAATATCGATTATTAGATGTACCTACATAATACACCGACCATTCGGCAATAGTTCAGTATCTGAAAGATTGTTCAGAGAACTAATCGTGGTTCTCTCTCTAAAGAGTTTAGAAGTTAATAAGAAAACCACACAGGTAAGTTAATATTTTTTCCACCAACTAAAAGTAAATCTACTTTTTAATTTTATGAATGTTTATGTAAAATTAATACCAAATCCTCCATACTACTGATAAATTACATAGATCGGCCATTCTCAGATGAGCTAGTTTTTGCGTGTCCGGGCTGTTAAATCGTTAAAAATGACAAATTAGAGACATGCAAGTATTTTTATATGTTACTTAACAACCCTATCTAGCTGTGCATTAAATCATAGGCCTCTAGAAGATANGACAGGTGACAGTTAAACCATAGACAATTGCCATATGAAAAACACACTTTTCCAATATTTTTGTTTGCCATGAGATTCTGGTACACCTATATTCCTAACCTAATAACCGCACGCACAACACCTACGTAATTTACGCCCGTATTCACAAACATGTGAACTATGAGGTCTCACAGTGCACGTGGACGCACAGGGTCACACACGAACCAATCACAGAGTTCTATTCAACGCTGTGCGTTTAATTTGCTGCTTCACTTAAGCAAGTATCGTTTATAAATACGTGTGTTAAAATATTTTGTGGGTTGTAGAGATGAAAGAAGAACGGTCACGCCCCATACAAAAAAAACCCAGACCCGACAGAAACGAGACATATCTCAGTTTTTTTGTCATGTCTTAATTAGTTAAATTATATATTTTTTATATTCGAAATCTATGTATAACACCAAAATATTACCCTTTGTTTTTGTTCAGGCGCTATACAAAAACTAATACAAAATGCCTATTTATCACCAAAATTGGTAAATGTATGTACCTAAATGTCTATTACAGCTGCTATGGAATGTATCTAGGTGACCTGGAGATACAGCCGGATTATACAGGGTGGAAACGAGAAGTTACAAAATCCAAAAATTCAATGTTACCAGCTTCCATAATCTGTAACCTATTATTGGTACCATTTGAAAGAGCTCGTGAAGCACTTTCAGAATCAGTAACTATTTTTTCGATATCTTGTATAGTTTAGAAATAATCGAGTGAGAACACTTATCGTTCCATATGTATAACCACCCTGTATAATCCGGCTGTATCTCCAGGTCACCTAGATACATTCCATAGCAGCTGTAATAGACATTTAAGTACATACATTTACCAATTTTGGTGATAAATAGGCATTTTGTATTAGTTTTTGTATAGCGCCTGAACAAAAACAAAGGGTAATATTTTGGTGTTATACATAGATTTCGAATATAAAAAATATATAATTTAACTAATTAAGACATGACAAAAAAACTGAGGTATGTCTCGTTTCTGTCGGGCCTGGGTCACAAATGACCGTTCTTCTTTTGTATCAAAAGTTATGAAGCAATCTACATGAACATCTGGCTGTAGGTAAACAGTTTTACATTCGTTTTCGATCCGTCATTGTGATTGATTTGCCATGTCCCAAAATTCTGATTTATGTATGCGACTCTATGTACATAAAATCTATAACCTTTTAAACACTTTGTTAAATTTAAACTTGGTATTTATCAAGACCACTCGTTCTTTTGTTCTGATTACAAGCTCGTATTTTTTAGATTCAGATACATTCCAATTATGGTCTATTTCTGATACTTTGATAACTGCTGCTGATGCGAATGTTTTATTGGGTCTTGAATGACTTTTCATCATTCGCCATTATCATTATTTCAGTTGACCTCCAGCATGAACGGCTGCTGTAAGGTAGCCTCCAATTTTTCGTCGTCTTTAAAGGTAGGACAAATGTTTTTTTCACAAAGATATTCTTTGCAGTATGTATGCAGTATTTTTCTTTTTGGAGAGTTTGAAGTGCAAACATATTTGTATTTTTTAAAGTAAAATTCAGAAATTTTAGGGTATTACTTAACACTGACACTGAATACCAAACACTCGTTTATTCTGGGGTTTAAACCGCTCGCATGTCACGATGGGGAAATTATTTCCCCACGTCACGCGGAACAAATACATTTGCTCAGGGAAATAGGTAATAACAAGTATACACAAGACACATACGTACAATGTGCGCAGCGAAGGCAGCGACGGCAGCGGTGGCACCCTTCGAAGGAGTGGCGCCTGGGTTATGTAGCTGGAATAAACATATAGAAACTTTTATCTTATTGTTAGTGTAATAAAATCCAATTTAATAAGTATGACACGACTCAACTAGTACATTGGTTTCGTAAATAAAAGCTATTTTTTACTCAAAACTGGTATTGCATTCAAAAAACATTTTAGTTTTTTTTTTAATAAAATAAAATACATTTTTGAAAAAATACAGAACAGACTATTTAATAAACATTGTAAATTAGTGCATGATTGTATGTAGGTGCCTTAGTATTTAATCTAAATTTTAATTCCCCAGATCAATTTTTTGGGGTTACTGGTGACCCCGTGGCGTTGAACGTGTTAAAATGCACAAAAACTACTTACGGTGCTCGAGTTTTCGTTACTGATGATGAGTGGTAGTTTTTAAGGGAGCTTAAAATATTATTTATGTATTGTCAATGTTTTTTACAAAACAAATAAACAATTTTTACTTAGTGTAAGAATGTGTTATTTATTGAAATCTCCATGAATATTAGTAAGGTTAAGGATTAGATTTTAAAGCACACTGAACAAATGACAAGTATTAATAAGAAATAACAAATGGGACAATTTAACGATAGCGGCGGTGAATCATTATTATAATCATCACATCATGGTAATACTTACAACGATTTTAGCTTTGGCATTTTGGTCAGATCTTCAACGGCTATGTGCTCCAATTGGGGTGCGTCAATAATAGCCCTGAAAAAAATTGCCATGTTAATAAATATTCTTTAGTATAGCTGTAGTGCTTAACTGTGTCAGCCGCTCTCTACTCTCTTTGTATTATTAATTTATTTGGACATGATTTGTATTTCTTTCTTATTGATACTTGACTATTATTAATAAGAAAATGTATTTGAAAATTTGACATGTAATGAACATTATAAATAAACTTATTCTTATTCTCATCTAATACAAGTTCCTAAACGCGGGACCCGTCTATAGGAAATTTCGCCCGCTGCCCAACGGTTGGATGGGTAGGGTGGTGTGTCGTTTTACAGGCAGGGCCCACTCAATGTTCGCTCGCGACCCACCACTGGGTCGCGACCCATAGTTTGGGAGACCCTGCTCTACAGCTACAGCAGTATCGAGAAGAAAAATATTTCCCTATTCCCCCATACGTCTTTTTGGAGATCAATTCAGGTGCTGTTCGTTCGTTCGTTTCAGCCGAAAGACGTCCACTGCTGGACAAATGCCTCCCAACTCCCAAGGATTTCCACAAAGACCGGTCCTGCGCCGCTCGCATCCAATCGCTGTTCAGGTGCTGTAAGCTTAAGCTCAACTATACACTTAAAGGCAGAAAACTAGACAAGAAAATACAAAATGGTCGCAGGTATAGTTAAAAAAAAAAGAAAAAAAAGACGTAGGTAAGCAGCGCAGCATAATATCCTTTTCCAGTTCTAGCCATTGACGTGAACGTGTTAAATTCCAGCGTTCACACAAGCTATCCGTTTGCAGGACGCAGCAAGGCTGCTGCTGCTTCCGTTTGAAAAGTTAATGTCGAAGAAGCGGAAGCCACGGCACGTCCACGTCGCTCCACGCCACGCCAAAGCGAAACTGGCGAGACTCCAGGAGAAGGCCCTTAGAGGTACAGTTCAATGGTTGTAGCCTTTTCAGCGTCTGCACGTAGATTGTTGTTTCTTTTAGTGGATTATTTTTCATCAAGATTCTTCGAAGGGTGAACATTTTAGAAATGTTTTAGAGAAAGTAGGTATGTCTAAAGAAGCAAAGCTTCATCATCACCACCAACGTACCAACGTACCTAATCTTCTTTAAGTCTATGTTAAGGTCTTGTTACGGAAAACAAACTAATACCAAAATATGGCGCCGTCCTACAGTCATAGCGTCGGAACGTTCAGGGTAGGTACCTTTATATTTAGCTACCGATGGCTCGTATGTTATAAAGATTTTATAAACCGAGAAGTATTAAATTATCATCATCATCATTAGTCTCCACTACAGGACGATCCTCTCGAATTTACCAGAGGAAAATAGAGAATTTGTCCTTTACTCCCCAAGCTGGCCAGACAGGATAGAAGGATATTCGCTTATTGTCTTTTAGTCCCCTCTTACGACATGACATCTACGGGAAAAGTGGAAGTGATTGTGCTGAAATTTGGCTCCTTAACAGAGTAGGTACTCACAAGTTTTCATTGTGGAATTTGGGCCGGCAGTTCGTATATTCCTTAGTCGCCTCTTACGACATCCACGGGAAGAGTGGGGGTGGTCCTATTCTACTCTGTTGGAACTGCACGACTTCTGACATACTCACAAGTGTTCTATGTGTAATTTGTGACCGGCGTCGTGTAGAGCTTTCACGTTTAGAATGGTGATGTTGGTCCGCACCAGTTCCAAAGGAAAAAGAAAGCACAAAAGATTCCAATGGGTAGAGGTGCACTATGCTTAGGCGTAGCCCTATAAGATAAGATACTTTTCCGGAACCACACAGCTTCTGACATACTCACAAGTGTTCAATATTGTGCAACTTGTGTCCGGCGTCGTGAAGCGCCTTCACGTTGAGAATGGTGATGTTGGTTCGCACCAGCTCCACCATCACGCCGGCGTCTGCGCATGACGATCTCCTCACTGGAACCAAGGGGAATGAGGGCTATCGTATTTATACTTAACAGTTGGCACCCCTGGCGATTGACAGGACCTTACTCTACAGTGGCGCCATCTTTATGAGTGCAAATGCGATAGTCCTCCTACCACTTTAGCGCTCACCAGCTGGCGCCACTGTCTTCGCTACTAGCAAGTGACAGGACCTTACTCTACAGTGGCGCCAACTGGTGAGCGCTAAAACGATAGCCCTCATTAAGATTAATTTATGTCAATGGCTTAGTGCTGGTCCAGATGACCCGTTTTTACTTGCACGATATTGAGATAAGTAGAGGTATAGATAGAGTCACACGTTTTAGGTACCTATGAAAACTTTTTCTCGCGCGATTTGAAACGCACTAGTCAAAAGGGTCATCTGTACATGCTCCTAGAGTCCTTACAGTCTTCAGACTTTTTGTCGGCTTCTAATTTGCATGAAGAATCGGCCGATACCAAATCGGTGTAACGTGTGAACTTTCATAAGTTCATATTGATTATCTTTGATATAGTAACCAGCGTGTTTAGTATACCTACCAAAAACCTAACATTCTGTGACAATAGCTCGATTAGAGCCCGTGAACCCCGGACCTTCGATATTTTATAAAAGCTGAAAGTTGGCATGCGCCATTCGCTGACCATGGCGCATGCTCCCAACACAGGAAAGAACGATGGATGATAAAGAAATTTCGGCTATCGTGACTTTGGCAGCTACCGTAAAATGCTTGTCTGGCATGAGGTGGGAATGGTCAAAACTGTCGGGCTGATGAGGAAAATAACATCTAATTATTTTCACTACCGTTAATGCGAGAATATGTCCTCCTATGAATAAAGATCTCTCATGAAAACAAACGATAGTTATTTCACTATATCACTTGAATGAAACTACTTTTTATCACTAGCATAGCGTTATGAATGGAGCTGATTTATCGTACAATATGAAATATCTACCATTATCTTCCATCGCCAAATCAAAACACAGCGATAACTCAAATGAAAGGGCACATCCATCAATCTATTCTCGATTTCTCGAATCAAAACATTCAACGGATCGACTTGAAATACTAAAATAGACGAGTGATATCTTCCGACAGAACACACCGGCCGTCTTATGCAGTGCATGGAAAAGCTAAGTAATTTAATTGATTGACACAAAAACACAATTATCTACACTAATATTATAAAGAGGAAAGATTTGATTGTATGTATTGATTAAGCTCCGAAACTACTGGACCGATTTGAAAATTTATTTCCGCATTATAATCCTACACTATCCTTGATTACATAAATGTCAAAAAGTTACAACAACTTTTTATTGGTGATACGAAGTTCGCCGGGTCAACTACACTCGCGAGCAAAAATATGGAATCACCCCATTTATTCCGAGCGATCATAAGAACTAAATGACTAATAGAAGTTCAATAAAAATGGTACCATTTTACAGGTGATATTATAAGCTTAAAATTGATACCATAGATACATACAATACGTAGTCATTCAGTTCTTAAGACCGCTCGGAACGCAAAGGGGTGATTCCATACTTTTGCTCGTAAGTATAGTTTATTCAAAAACTAAGTTCTCTGCCGCGTCTGTCTCTCTTGTTCTCGCTAAACTCTAAAACCACTGAAAGGATTTCCATGCGATTTTCATCAATGGATAGAGTCATTAGATAGTCAAGAAAAAAAAATGATAGTTTTAATTCAGTAATGCCCGTTTTCACCATCAATCCCTAATTTTTAAGTGACCCAAAAAGAATTAAGTGTTAGCATAGGGGTCACTAAAAAATTAGGGATTGATGGTGAAAACGGGCATGAGACCAATAGGTACCTATTCACAGCTCACGCGAACAATTTATGATCTTTAAACAAAGATCTTGTCCGTGACATTTATCGAAGACTATATTAATTAAATAATCGCACCAATCGGCAAACTCTACATAACCAATTACTCGTACCTACCTACCTATAAATTAACCTCACTATTTAAATTAGTTTCTGATAAAAGATGCGCAAATAGAAATACCTACTGACTTAGGTTATCATTAAATAATTTGGAACTGAGTCTGTGACCTCATCCCTCCTCCTTCATCTTGCCCACAAATAAGCTTGATCTAACATCTTCATTGGTTTAGGGCCGACTTATTAGACTGTCTATATCCCCAGGGATATGAATAAATATTTCCTTTAGATAATTAACTGATACTGCTTCAGTATAGTCGAAAATACCAAATCAGACTATTCATTTACTATAAGATAGCGTCTACGGGCTTGCGGATACAGCACATCAGACTAAACACTGTGTCATTTTAAATAGGGTGTCCAAAAACAGTGTCAAAAAGCCGTAGCTCAGACGTAGCGACGAGCATCACTTGGGCTCCCCAATCACGGCCACTTTTGATAGTTTTCTGGTTATGATTTTTTTTTACAACATACAGGTTTTTAACGTTTTTAGTTTACATTCCTGTTATGGCCATCGTGACCAAAAAATTACCTAAGCACAGTTTAAAACAATCATAACTCGAAAACTACATAGGGGTACCCCTAGAGTTGCTCTACCTCTGGGCTTCGGCCTGACAATACTCTTTGGGACAGTATGTAGTAGTAGGTGTTAATTTGCAACAAATATCTTTAGTCATATGCTGTCGACTGTACCTATACTTAATCAAGTCATCGAGGTAATGAACGGTTTCAATATTTCTTTCAAATTCTCATAAATTGTAGAATGAAAATAGCCAACGCCCACCGCCTACAAATCAACACCCGCTAACATAAAGTATAAAGGTCGTAGCACACTTATCAACCCGGAAAGGGATCGTAACCGTATCAACTCGAGAGGGTCAGTATTCCTTGTATGAAACTCCATACTGCAACGCACACTTATCCGCACCGTAACGTAAACGCCTCGCCTCGCGGTTGACAGGGTGCGAAAGGCGATACTGTGTTGATTCCTTTAAGAGTTGATAACAACCGTATTCACAAACATTACTATGAACATTATGTATTCTGTGCTATGAGGTCTCACGGTGCGCGTGGACGCACAGGGTGACGAACCAATCACAGAGCTCTATTCAACGCTATGCGTTCGATTTGCTTTATTTTATCCACAATGAGCGCGTACCGGAAAACGCAGCGTGGGACGTACCAAAGGCAGAAGGTGAAAACGAGCTTCACCCGGAATCCTCAACCACGGAGGAACTGGCTATCTTACCTCTAACTGCCGGAACACAACAATGCTGTTAACATTGTTGTTATGGCGACAGACTTACGTAAGATGGATGCTCGTTTGTGAATACGGGCGTATGTCTGCAATGAGTTGTTGGGTAGTTAATAGTTTTGTTCGCTCGCCTAATTGACCATTACCACCAACGAATTTCGACCTGCACACTTTTAATCGCTTAATACTATAAAAATAATTATAGTAAACAAAATTCCTTTGCGTAATCTTCACGTTTTGTTTGGTATACTTACGTTTTATGATGCTATAAATGCGGTAACAACAGTCTTTTATCTTTATCAAACAAATTAACGGGAGATTAAGAGATTTTTTAGCTTTTAATGTGTTCTTTTAGCGCATCCAGACGTCGGTAAAAGATTTGAAGACGCCTTCAATGAAAATAATTGAGATTAATGAAATGTTTCTGATTTTTACTCGTAGTTCCAGACAATTATTACGCAGATTGTAGATGATAATAACAGTAACATAAGTAGTCGCAATAACGTTTTAACTTTAACCCTTTTTATGTAAGAGTGCTTTTTTAAAGCCTACCTACAGAAATAAATGAGTTTTACTGAGTTTTTTTTTAACCCCGACAAAAATATATTAGGTTATTAAGCCTCAGTAACACCTTAATTTTAACTGCCACTATAACCGGGTTTTTATATGGAGTTTGACAGACTTGACGTTTCTTCTTATAGTTAAAGTAAGATGGTATAACCCAGCCTACAGGTTCGTAGTTCATAGACAAATGAACCTGGTGATCTTCTCGTTTTTTTTTAAAACTTTAGTTCAGTGTGCCTACCATGAGTTTACGTTAGGTGAGCTCGCTAGCGAATACGTCAAAAAATTCTATGAAGATTTTATTTCTTGAAAGTAGCCACTAGGGGCGCTGCACAATATGTCATACATTTAAATGTCATTTTTTTACGCAGTCGCTAGCGAGCACACCTAACGTAAACTCATGGTAAGCTTCAAGTATTTTGGTAATAATGAGGAGATCCGTAAACGAACTAAAGTCGCTGACATAGTCCAACGGATTAGCAAGCTGAAGTGGCAATGGGCAGGGCACTTAGTACGCAAAACTGATGGCCGATGGGGCAGCAAGGTTCTGTAGTGGAGGCCAAGTACCGGAAAGCGCAGCGTATTACGTCCACCCACAAGGTGGACCGACGACCTCATAAAGGTAGTAGAAAGGCGCTGGATGCAGGCAGCCACCAACCGGCCATTGTGGAAATCATTGAGGGAGGCCTATGTTCAGCAATGGACGTCCTATGGCTAAAATGATGATGGTAGTAAAAGAAACGCATCCCAAGATTAATACTTGAATTTGAAATTAATTTTGGATGTAATGTCGTTGCGTAATAAACTGCAGATCTATGTACAAACTGCAAGTATTCTCTGTATAATATCTCAAAATCAAAATCAAAATTTTCTTTACTTATTTGTTTAGACTAATTAATTAGTACTTGCAAATCGTCAAATGCTCTTAAGGAGCCTATACATGTCTCATTCTTTTTTGCCCTACCATAGGTATACCTAGGTAGAGCAGCGCCCTTTTTAGGGCGCCGGGAGTCCCACACCACCCTGTCCCCCGGCAGTGGTGACGGTGCGCAAAGTATTTTCTCCGCGACAAAAAAAAGGTATGACGTAACTCACTTGCACTTACAGTGTTTTTTATCAGTCACCGCTTAGATTCACCAACTGGGTTGCTGGGTTATTAAATTGGATTATACTTTATACATTTATCAACTCTTGCAGAGTTATACCTATTTACA